GCGAGAGGACGGGAGGGGGAAGGGTCTGGAAGTGGGAAATGAGGGAGTCCTCGGAATAGAAGCAGGTGTGCTGGGAAGTCCCAGATGGGTGCAGGCAGGCAGGCAGAAGATGCATAGACATTACGCAGTGCGAATACCTACCTGCTGCTGCTCCTACTTGCAGAGGACGGCAGATTGGCGCAGCATGATGATGTATGTACGCGGCAAAGCAGCGCGCAGCAAGAAATCACAGCAGCACGCCAAAGCAAGTGGACGCATCTCAGTGTCACCCACCCCTCAGCTCACCCCGCTTCCTCCCTGTTGAGTGAGTCTGAGAGACTGAGGTGCCATCTCACAGTGACCCGACTTCACCTCAGGTCAGGTCAGCGGCGTCAGTGGGTTCGCCTTACCTAAGGCTGGCTGCTGGGCTCCGTCACCCGTGCGCTAAGCCTACGCTTGCCGTTGGCCATGCCTCAATGGACGTGGGCAGTCACCACCTCAGTGTGTGGACGTGGAACCGAACGTGCGACGTGGGGACGCCCAGTGGGTCTTGCCTTCCAGCCCCTGGGCCTGGGTCTGGGCGGGCTGAAGCTGCACCCTGCAAAAAACGCCCTGCTGATGCTCCAGTGTCAGTGGTGTCCCCGTCGTCGGTCGTCGGCGCTCGCCCTCCCCACCGGGGCCTGCCCGGGTCCAGTCCACGTCTGGGTCTGGGTCCTGCACCTGAGGTGAGGTGCCTGCCCTGGGTCCCGCTGCCGCTGCAGACAGTCCCCTCCTCGGAGCTAAGAATACCTACCTACTGCGGTAATGGCAACCAAACCACAGTCGTCACTGCCAATTCCCCTCCGTCATGGCACTTCCCCGCCATCATCTCATCCAATCCATTCATGGGAGCTGCATCAGGCCACTTTCAATGCCCTGTCTTTCTTTTCTTGCCCACCTCATATACCACGCTGGTGCAATTACCGTCCTCGACAGTCCACTGGATGGATGCGGCTGGTGTTAAAAAAAAAACTCGTTCTTGCTGTGACGTCCTCCGAGATGTTTCGCTTGCTGAACCTGCACCTCCGATGCTCCTCTCCCCTGGTCTGAGATGCGAGATGCTCTGACGATCTGTACCCGTTGCTCCCTTGCATGTTGCTCTACCGCGTGACCACCATCCGGGACCCAGCTCCAATCGCCCACCTGCACCCCTTTTGTCTTTGTAAAACGCAACTTCCTCCTTTTCTTTTTTGTCTTCTTGTGTCAGAGACGTCAGAGAAGCTGCTTGTCAACCGACATACAACACCTTTCAAGACAGGCCACGAGCGTGGCCAAGCCGTTGAGAACAAAGACTTCACTTCCACCTCCTCAGAGAAGCCTACCCGGTCTTGCCAACCGCCATTCTACTTCAGTTTCGTCCAATTAGATCATCCTCGCTTCAGCCGTTGCAAAAAAAATATAAGCCGTTGTGTCTCACCAGCAAACCCCAGGTTTCCCCTCCGCAAAGCAGTGCCGAATCCCGCTCCTCTCGATCGCCGCCCCCTCTTAACCCCAACAAGCCACTTCCTTCCCCGCCTCCTGCCGACAGCGAGCAAGCCAATGGCCTTTTGGCCAAACCAGTCTTGAAGCTGACCAAAATCATGGCGACCCTCAGCGACGACGACATTGAGAAGCTCTTCTCCGGAGCTCCTCAGTACTTTGCCCGCTCCGAGGGCCATTACACCGGTGCCCCGCATCCTTCTGTTGCCTTTCCCTGGGACGAGTCTCTCGAGATCCGCGACTTGACCGACCATGTCCAGATCGAAGACGCCGCCTGGAGCTGCATCACAGCATGGCCTCATATCACGAGAGACATGAATAGCAATCCCGCTGCCATCAAGTGCGCCAGAGAGAGGAAGCGCGCCCACTTCTACCCCCGATGTCGAGAACGGCCTAATATGCTGAGCATGCAGGGGTTGGAGAAGGGCACCATGGGTTACCAGGCCGCTCTCGAGGTTCCCGTTGGAGATGCCCTTCAGGAAGAACAGTTCGGTTTTGGCACTCTCGGATCCAAGGCCAACGCCATCATCGATGCGCGCCAGAAGCTGCTTGCTTCCAAGGACGGCCTTCGCCGCCAGGAGGAGTCGGCTATACTGGACCAGCTTATTAAGAATGGCGCGAGGTACAAGGAAAACCGGATTCACAGGAAGATATCCCATACCTTGTACAACGAGCTGTTCCTTGGCATCTTGCACCCGCCTACCCGGGTGATCGATCACCATGACCCCTACAGCCTCTCGGTCCAGATACAGGCTCTCGTTAAGGTGCTTGCAGCGCCCAACGTCTGGATCGACTTTGCGCATGTGGAATGGAGAATTCGTCTAGGCCAGATTCTCTGGGGCTCGTTTGAGGGCGACGAGATTGAAACCGATCCTGAAGTCGACGACGCCGAAACCAACGAAGAACGTAAAGAAGAGAGATATTGGTTGCTGCTTCAGATTCTCCTGTCGTGCGAGCTTCTAATAAGATTAGACGCAATTACCGAGGGCGAAGAGCTGGGGATTGAGAGCATTAGACCCGCCGAGATTCACCGTTTCGAAAAGGACGCGAACCAGTCCGTCAAGTGGTCGCTACACCTTGCGCGTGCTTGGCTAGAGAACATCGAGATTGTAGAGGCCAAGATCGACCCAGCCAATGTTGGCCAGAAACGCAACTCTGGCGGCTGGCTGGCTTCGTTAACTGGCAAGATGAGCCTACACCATCACAACAATCATGCCAACTCAGGAGAGAGCATGTCCATTTACACTATCCAGGGTCGTTACAGCGAGAGACAAGTCAACGGCCTCACACACTTTGCGCGGAAACTGCGATGGCCTGATATCGAATCGGACATTTACGCCGAGCAGATCGAAGAAACCGTGGGGAAGGTGTCGGAGGCAACCCCTATTCATACGCCCGCGGAAACCCCATTGAGTATTGACACCCGGAGGTCGTCCTACTTTGGTGGCGGCAGGGCAGAAGCCAGCGTCACGAAGCATTCGTCAGGCAAGCGTGGCGTTTCTGCGGCTCTACACCCGTCTGGTTGGCTTTCCAAGTCCTATGTGTCGGGACTCATGCTTCCTGGCGAGGGACTGTACCACTTGATCATGTCCACTCTGTTGGAAAACGATAAAGAAGCAATGGCAAAGCTGGGGCCAATGGCCAACCTCTGTGGCGGTTTTGTCTACCGGGGCAAAAGCTTTTGGAGCACAGCTTGCATCGTTGGCCGTGTTTTGGCAGCTGGTAAGGGCTCTGCTCAATGCATGGGCTGGATTTCAAGCGACATCACGCCTCAAGGCCACGGCGAAGGCTGGATCAACGTTGACGTTGCCGATGTTTCCGGTAAGTGAACAGATAGTTCTGATTCGTGCGTGATTGCTGATTCTTGTGACAGCCGATATGAAGAAGACGGGTAGACAAGCTCGGCTTTGGGGCAAGACACACGTTGAGCGGGACTCATGCGTCCTGGGGGATGCTGATCCCAGCTCTGTCTTGCCTGCGGACTTCATCATTCCGTACGAGAACAACTACTCTGAACCGCCGCCCAGTCTGACCATTGATTTCCTCTCTCTGAATCTCTCTGCGCCTGTGGATTCGGTTGACACAACACCCACCGAGGAATTCGTGACTCCGCTCTCTGATGTGACTCGGAGCTCAGAGATCCACACCTATCCGTCCTCCATCTCGTTTTCCGTCGGCTCTCTCGGCGGCGAGTCCAAAGAGCACAATTTTGCGCTGTCCAACGATATCCATTTCGTTACGGCGCATCCGTGTGCTCCATCATCTCATGTCAAGGTGATGAGGTCGCCTTCAAGCCCCACAATCCAGCAAATCGATGTGGACGGAACCGGCATCGGCGGCAAGAGCTCTAGCCCTGCCACCATCACCGGTAAGCTGCCTACTTCTCTCGCCGCGCAGCCACGTATACTTACCCTTTCCAGGACATCCCCTGCACAAAATGTTCACTTACACGGTGATCCACCTTTCCGAGCTGCTCGAGAAGTCGACCGCCTCGCTGGACGACCTGCTGCTCAACACGGCCTCAGTTCGGCGCCCCTCTCTCACGCCAACCATTAATACGACACCCCGGGTCCTGGTCATTGACTGCATCACGGGTATCACGCGTCAGCCGCCGACGCAAGAGACTCCGACGTCGCCTATCCTGGAGCGGACCGCTAACGGCGCCAGCCTTGCGGCGGCCAAGATGCACCTCGAGTCGCGGCGCCGTCAGTTTGGTAGCGACATGGAGATCCTCGTCCGTGCCTTTTGCGCCGAGAAGGGCTGGAACGCCATCATCTCGCGACGTCGACGAGGCTGCCTTGCCTGTGCCATCAGAGAGGCCGGGGCACTGGCGTGGAAGGTCATCATTCGCGTCGAGTAGAAGGCCACCCTTTTAATTCATTTGTACATGTAAAAGCTTGACAGCAGACGGTTTCAGTGTTTCAATATTGGGCGTACGGGGGACTGGGACGGAACTACATGGAGTACAAGACGTACACATGCACACACGAGAGGCATATAAAGCGTTTTCAAGGAATGACTGAAGAAAGACGGAACGAGGTGTCTGCATAGTTACGTAAAAGCGGCAGTGCGAGATACCCCCTAATATACACATACGCTGTAAAGAAGATAATCAACTCTCCTCAGCCCATCGGTTGTGTAACATTTGAAGGTAACGTGGGTGTCAGACGCTGCTGCACCGAATAGGGAAAGCGGCGCCCGTTCGTGGCTTGCCCGTTGCAAAAAAGTAAAACAATTCATATGCATGTTTCAACGAAGGTGTGCTATGTCGCGTGGCACTGCAGGCCAAGTAAGGTAGGTACGGATACGTAAACCAAGAATGCTCGAAAGACTCATCATCGCAAGTAGTGCACACGACGCAGACCACCCATCGTCTCAATCTGGAAGCTTTACATTGGTATCATGCCAAATCACACGCACACGCACACAATCAAATAGCCTCCTCTGTTTCGTTTGCGCATCACAAAAACGTTTTCCTCACCCCCATCCCAGCCCACTCCAGCTTAGAGGTCGCTGCCGTCGAACCAGCTGTCGACGCTCCACTCCTTCCAGCCGCGCTCCTCGCCGGGAAGCTTGATGGCCTCGTACTCGTCGCGGGTGACCTTTTGCCACTCGTCGAGGGGGATCCAGCCGATGTAGGCGCGGTCGCCGAAGCCGCCGATCCAGTAGACGGAGGTGACGACGAAACGGACCCACTCGGACTCGTGGACGGGGCTGCCGGGGAGCCAGTACTTGCTGTCGGGGTGCATCTTGACGAAGCAGCCGGCGAGCTTGAGGGAGGTGACAGGGTCGACGGGAATCTTTTCGAGGTAGCCCATGAGGGAGAAGCGGGGGAGGTTCGCGGCGGAGTAGGGAACGGTATCGGGGCCGTCCATGATTTGTTGGTCGCCGCCAAAGATCTTCTGCTTCAGAGAGGACAGGAGAGAGATGCGCTTGGCCGGGGGGAAGGGCGGCACCCAGTGCATGGAAAGGGAGATGTTTGAGCCGGCGCGGACGTTCTTGAACGAAGTGGCGATGGTGATTGCGAGGATAGTGGGGTTTCCCTCGTCCTCGCAATCGGCGACGTAGTCCATGAGGCCGATGGGCATGCCGGAGATATCTGAGCCGGAGGCGGAGTGGGCGCCGGCCGGGAAGACCGTAGAGAGCTCCGCGAGCTTCGTGTGGGCGAGGATGCGGCGGGCCATAACGGCGGACTCGTACGAGGACGGGATGCGGGTGAGGGCGTCGGCGGCATCGTCTGGGTTTTGGAGTATGTGGGAGGGGGTTCCCGCTGGGAGGAGGGCGGAGGCGGAGGCCGCGAGGGCGAGGAGGGAGGCGATGGACTTCATTTTCAGAGAGCCGGTCGGTGGTTGTCCTAGAGGGGAAAAAGAAAAGAAGATAACTGGTGTTGTGCGAGGGGGTAAGCAGCCGGTTTATGTAGTCCCTCACTTGAGGCTTCCTTTATTCGGTCGGTCGGTCGGGGAGGACGGGATCGGATCGTACGAGGTTGGGCTGGCGGGTCGGAAAGGCTAGGAGGGCCAAGAGTTTGTCTTGGGAAGTCGCCTAGGTGAGGGCGAGAGGCTATTGAAGTGCAGATGCGGCGCGGGGACGATGCCTGCTTTTGGAGGTTCTTTTGAGACGGAGGTCTTGGTCTTGTTCGGTCGGGGTCCGCGCTGGGCGGCAATATACGGGGTACGTAATAAAGAAGTCGCAATAGAGCCCTGGATCGAGCGAAGCACGGCGTGTTGGACGAGTCGGGTTCTGTAGCGGGCGTGATGGGGACGGAGGTTGGCTAGGTAGGGGTTGGTCAGTAGGTTACCTCAGGTCTTGGTTTAGCAAGCAGACTCCGCAGCGGCCATGAGGAGGAAGAGTGGACATGTGATGTCTGGGATGAGACGCTTGGCCGGGGTGGTTTAGATCTGATAAGCCAAACGTCGCCTAGCGCCAAATTGTCAGAAGGTTTTTGCTGGGTCTCCCACTGGGAAGGCTCATCATGCGGGCATGGGTAGGGGCATCGGCCGCTGTATGCGAGCCTGCAGGTTGGTTGATTTTTCCTTCTCTCTATCGCTTGTTGAGCGTCGGTCTCCCACTTGGCCTTGGGCCGAGAAGGTTAGACCAGTTTGTGTGTACGTGTGCGTGTATGTGTGTGTGCCTTGCAGGGAAGATGTTGCATGATCATTTGCGATGTATGGTGGGAGCTAGTGGTTCGATACGGGAGCATGTGTGGTGTTGATGGGTTGGTTGGGAGGGCGAAAGGACGAACAGCCTGCCAGAACATGGTTTGCTCTGCGTGCCGTCAGTGAATCATTCTTGCGCGGAAATCGCAGCGTGTTCCACTCCGGTTCTTGCCCTCAGCGCCAGCCACATGCAGAGCAAACCGGGAATGCACCATCTGGAATGAGCACGAGGAGCGGCTGCGTCAGACAAATAGCGTTGAACGGGAATTTTCCAAAATGTCACACAAAGTTCTTCGAAGCAAACTGACGTCTGGTCATTTATGCATACCACATGGCATTACGTAGATACTTGATTAGATGTAAAAGGGTCTGATTTGCCTGGGACCCAGAGAGGTACCTAACGTCCTAGGAGGGGAAGGAGGGCTTTGTCGCTAGCGAGCTTTGATTGGTGGAGCAGTGTTTTCTCAGCGGGGCATCTGAAAGGCGCGCTCTGCCAACAAAGACACCACCACGACGTAGTAGGGGGGGCAACACTGTACAAACTGAGCCCTTCTTTTGACGACGCGCCGACATTGAACCGCTATAGAAGGCGCGCCTTGGTCACCGGGGGAGATTCTCGAGTTTGATCTTCATTTGGCGCCCTCTGTGGTACGAAGGAGGGCATTCGGCAGCACCCGTTGTCTCACTCTCAATCAACCCCACTGAAAAACTGCATCTCATCTCAGTCGACCTCGTCCGCCACGGACTTAAAGGAGTGGACAAGAGCCCTCGCAGACACCAAAAAGTCCCAGATTGAGATGGAAACACAGACCGAGATGGCAACATGGAACGGTCTCCCTGTAGAGCTCAGAGGCCTCATCCTCGGCCACCTGGCCAACAGCGCCGTCGCCGAGCGTCGCTCCAAAATCTGGCGGAGTAAGGCCAACCGCCACGACATGGGCAGCTACGCCGTCGTATGTCGCCAGTGGCAGGGCTTCATCGAGGAGATCAACTTTAGCTCGCTCGAGATCAACTCCGCCAAGGATCTCTCGCGCTTCGACGAGCTGACCCAGGACCCCCGTCGCCGCTCGCTGCTTCGCCGGTTGGCCCTGCGTATCGAGCTACCCCGCTATGCCCTCAAGCTCGCCAAGGTCCCCGAGACCGACGAAGAGCAGAACGCCAACGAGATCGCCTTTACGCAGGCCATCTGGACCTTTTTCGACATCCTCAGCAAGTGGGAGCCGACGGGCAAAGGTAGCATCGAGCTCGAGTTGAGCGCTGCTTCACCGAGCGACAAGAATAAGTACTTTGGGGAAGCGGGCCTCGACCAAGACGGCAATTCGAGATTCTTCGATCATGATCTGGACTTTTCATTCATCACTGCGGCATGCGAGCAGATTGGACGACACGGGTTGCCGGAGGTCTCCGTGGTGTCAAGCTGTCAGGTGCTTAGACAGAATCATCGCAACTTTTCATCCCGGTCGCTTCTCACCATCTACTCGAGTCTGCCCAATCTCAGGGAGGTTCGATATGAGCCATGGCATCAAGTGGATATGGAGGCGCAACTGGAGGTCGACTCAGGTACTTGCCCCCCTTTTATAGTTGCTCGCATGTGATGCTAACTTTCAAAGACCACGCGCGAAGTCTACCATTTTGGCCGTCGTATATCAAGCGCTTCAGCATCTTCGAGCACTTCGACGCTTTCAACGACGGTGCCGGTGGCGAAGAATGGGAAGACGCAGATTCCGACAGTGATGATGATGCTGCGGCAGGGGCAAATGGAGGCGGCAATGCAGACACCAACGACGCCGAGGACCAGGGCGACGTACCAAGAACAGCCTGTCCAAGCTTGGGTCAGAATCTCGGATATCTCAGTTTACAGGCTGAAGAGATGGCCGTATCTAATGTTGCCGACGCCTTGGACTTCTTTGGTGGTGTCCTCGGCCGCAAAACCACAACTCCAGTCTGGCAAAATCTGCGCTTGCTGACTCTGACCTCCCACACAATGATCTCTGGCGTGCAACCCGAGAACATCAACGCCGTCCTCTTCCTCACAGCTACAGCGGCAAAACATATGCCGGCACTCAAAATGCTGGAGCTCTACAAGGTGGACCAGTTCGGCGCCGCCGTCTTCCGCTATACTGTACACGACAGGTCGACAACTCTCAGCTGGGAAGGCACATGGGAGTTCCGCGTAGAGAAGCGCGTTAGGGACGCTTTTGCGAGTGTCGCCCGCAAGAACACCCCAAACGAGCTGACATTCCTGCCAGAGACCTTGCTGGGCGACTACCGCGGACCATTCATCTTCATCAACGAGAACCTTAAGTCCAAGGAGCTGGTGTTACATTCTACGTCGTTAGAGGACATGCTGTCCAAGAAGATGGACAAATGCAAAGCTTGCAACGGCTTCTGCGCCCACCCCAAGACGGGCGTTCAGGTTGAATGGGAGTCGCTGGCCATGATCCCTGGCCCGGAGGAAACTGAGGACGGGGATGTGTGAGATCGATGCTCTAGTACATTATGGATGAGTACATGATTAGATACCCGGCGCGCGCCTGGAAACGACGTAATGGCATAGACAAAACAACATGAGTGAAAGGTTACAATATATGTCAAAATATTCATGAACCTCTTCCAATCAGTCAAGCGAAGTCTAGTATCACCCCTAATTCTCGCCGATGATTCATTCGGCGTTGCAACGGACGCTTTGGGAAGGTCCTAACTCCTAAGTCCGAACTTTTGCCGGGCCATTCTCTCCGCCAAAGCCAAACAATCGCTGGGAGAGGGAAAAAAAACAAAGGATGCACTGCTCGCCAAAGCCCGATTCGCCCCACCCCCACGTGACCAGGGTCCACGCACACAAACGGACAATTCGCCCTCGCTCCAAGCCTGCCCTCACCCCATCGCAAGCAACCCGACGCCCATCGCCCGCGAGTATTCTCGACAACCCTACTCACCGAAAAATCAATCACAGCAACACCACCCCAAGCCGACAACATGGGAAAGGTTCACGGATCGTTGGCGCGTGCCGGAAAGGTCAAGTCTCAGACGTAAGTCTTGTCCCGGCCGTTTTTCTGCTTGTTTTTGGGAGGAGGAGGCGACGCTTGGGTCATCGCGGCAAACGATGAGGGGGAAAAGACACCGGTCGGTCGGAAAGAGGAGGAATCATTTCGGTGCACCGCACAACGCGTGCAGGCTATTCCATCGCAAGACGACAGAAGATTTATGGACGATGAGAAAACGAATGACCGACCGGGCTTCTTTTTTGCTGGGACATTTGATCGATGAAACACGATGAGATGCTGACATTCTCGATAGCCCCAAGGTTGAGCCCCAGGAGAAGAAGAAGACCCCCAAGGGCCGCGCAAAGAAGCGTCTCACATACACCCGCCGCTTCGTGAACGTCACCCTCACCGGTGGCAAGCGCAAGGTACGATTCCCTCGATGAAGACTCGCTCCGTCTCCAGAAACCCTCGACGATGAACACAGATTTGACTAACGCCACCGACTCACAGATGAACCCCAACCCCGGCTCTTAAGCACCCTGCCCTCTTTCTGTTTCCCACAATGCATTCGATACGACTCTAGGAACGTTTGGGCCCACACCGACATGAGGGTGGAATCGACGGGACGTTGTTAAAAAGGGTGGTGGTTGGCGAACAATGGAGAAATCTTTTTTATGGGAAAAATGCCCCCGTTCGGCGTCGGAGGAAGTGCCCACGCACTGCAAACGTGGAGGAAGTCTCCCCGCCCCTTTCGGCTCGACGATTGGCATTAAAGAGAAACACGAATGCGTACTGCAGAAATACGTAAAAAATCATTTCGGTTTTCTGGCATTCAAATCGGAAATGGGGAAATTCATTTTACATGCTGCTTCATTGTCTTTACTTCCGTCATGCCCGCATGCGCAATGTTTGACTGCCTGACGTTCCGGAATGTCCTGGGCCAGCTGGTCCCTCGCTCGAGGAGAAATATATGACTGTTTTCTCCTGCTATACGAACAGTTTTACTGTTCCCTGCCGTGACGAGATAACTGACCGTGGTGGCGAATGTCAGACACCGCAACCAGCTTTGTCGAATCCACACCTCCGTTGTGTCCAGTTGGTTATGTTTGTCTGCGACGGACACCCGTTCGAACGCTATTGCGCTTCGAAGCATACTTAGCTGGTCCAGAAGGAGACAGCGAAACACTG